ACATGGTCTCAGACGGCCGCGGGGGAGCGAACGAGCGCGCGGCGAGGCTCGACTCTCGGCTTGTCCGCTTGCTCGGCGGCGGCGGCGGAGGATTCGGCCTTCTGGGCTTTCCTGAAGGCCGACACTTTCAGCGCCTCATGGCGATAGCAGCCCCGCGGGATTCCAGGGTCTGGTGGCGGGAGTAGCAGCGGCAGCGGCGTTCCGGCTCTTCGCGAGGGGCCGGCCAAGCCCGCATGATGCGGTGCCGAGGAGAGGAAAGTCCACAGCCGGAGGAGAGAGCGCTGCCATAGCTCTCCCATAGCGCCATCTACCGAGCGGAGGGCATTCTTCCGTTCCCTTGGGAGGAGACCGGGAAGAAATGTCGTTACCGCTTTCCCTCTCCGGTTGGTTGGTGGGGCGGTTGGTTTTGGCCACCGCACTCCTGCGGGTGAATAGTAAAAGCTGTTAGCGGTGGGCCAGGTCAGAAACTGGTTCCAAATTGTGCTTGCACTCGCCTGGCAAATTTAAGCGCGCATGGTCCACTTACTTTACTGAACAAATGCAGGGAATTATGAACTGAGCACCGAGGCAGTCTTGCAACACAAGTCACCAGAATATAGCCGGCGAGTTGGTGTTTCCCTGTTATAGGTGCCCTTGCATGTATTCAAAGATATTCGTGGCAAGCTACCCCACCTGGCCCCAAATTAGGCCTTCTTTTGCTCCCTTGAGAATTTGGATTAAATTACTATATGGGTACTCTTGTTGCAATAGATTCAGCAGGAAACCAGATTTTGGATGTTTAATACTGCTGCTATTGCAAAGTTCTGGGGCAGAGGCATTCTGGGGGAAAAGCACCAGAATGAAAGGTAGGAGGATAGGATTGGCTTAGCTTTGATAGTCTATTAGGTAGGTCTACAATAAGGTAGAATGAGGAATGTGCACAATGGGTTATCTATCTCAGTTCTTCTGGAATGTAAACCTGGTCTAATCAACTAGACTTTGAGTTGAATAGATGATTTTCTGCGTGTATGCAGATTGAGTGAGTGGAGTTTTGAGTTCATAAAGTGGACAATACAAGTTGTAAACCTAGGGAGAAGGAGGTCAAAAAAGTCAAGATGGTGACTGTGACTGCCTGATCAAAGCCCCAGTCCAGAATATCAATGTAAAAAAGCAGTGGGACTTCAATCAAGTGGTTGTAGCTGTCATGTTGACATTTTTTAGTCTTCCAGGGGTACTCGCCAAATGTAAATTTGTTTAGTGACAAGATTTAAAAAAAAAAATAGTAGAGATCCTGCTTTATGGTTCTTGATGAGAATGGCCCTTTGAAATGGATTTTTTGGACATTTCTTGACATTTTTCTTCCTGCTAGCCTCATTCGTGCCATATTCATAATGTTTTCATGGAACAGATACAAGGAAAAGGAAACGCCAACATCCCAGCTTATAGATAAGGATGGGATATGGGATGAAGACATAGATATCTGTTTGTAACTTTACTAAACTTGTAAGATCAGGTGTCATATTCTTTCTTCATTTCACTCTTTCTTTGACTTTTTTTCTTTTACTTTCTTGGCACTTTTTATTCTTTATTACTTTCTGAGTTTAGTTTGTATTATTTTTTATCGCTGTACTGAAAATTGTCAATAAAATTTATATATAAACTGATCCTTCCTATAGCTATCTTTTATTGCCAGTCTGCAAACCCTTTGGTTTTTTTCCCCTTCCATTCAATCATGCCTTATTTTCAGAGACTGCCTTGAAAGTCCTTCACTTTTCTTGGCAAGCAATCACTTTTCAGAAATTATTTACTATTGTCTCCCTTTCTAAGGCTGCAAAAAAACGACTGCCCAGGCTTCCTATAGCTATCTTGCCAGTCTGCAAACCTTTTGGTTAATTACCTGCAACTGCACTAAAAGTCAGTCTTCAGGTAATATTCGTAACTAGATTAATAGATTGAGCCAATGGAGAAAGACATACAGGAAAAAGATATTGACAACAAGTTGAAAGATCTTTCATTATGATTTGGTCATCTTTATCTGCTCAGTAAAAATCTTTGCATTCTATTGGTTTATGCAACAAAAATACAACTGTGTGACTAGTTTATTGGTTCTTATCTCTTTCGGGCCTTTTTTGCAAATATATCTAAAAGCAGGTTTATATATTTGATTTATGTTTTATTGGCATCACTGTTAAATGGAAAATCAATTTTCTACCTAAGCCAAATGGATTATAACTAAATATCACAAACAATTAAGAAAAATGTTTTGTTTTTAACAGTACTTCTTTCGTAGACCTTTAAAGATTCAGAAAGTGATTTTTTATTACATTTTATTATTAATAAGAGTCGCAGAAGAAAATATTTAGTAATGTGACAAGTTTTTGGTTTCTCTGCTACATATAATTTCAACAATGGCAAAACACTACAATTGAAAAAAATCCACTGGTGCAGAATGCATTACATTATAAGCATTGCAAAGAACAAGAAGATGTTGTGTGCTGATTTATGCTCCATCTGACCAACTATAGAAGCAATCCAAAGTTTGGGACAAGTTTTCCATGCCTAACTTCAGTAGTCTTGGAAGCTAAGTAGGACTGAGCCTGGTTAGTACTTGGAAGAAGACCACTGAGAAATCCCAGAGCTTGGATTTGCAGATTGTTGGACTCAATGATCTCCAAGGTCCCTTCCAACTTTATTATTATATTATATTATATTATATTATATTATATTATTTGAAGCTAACCTAAGTCATGGTAAAACTCTCCCACAACAAGACAATAGCAGATTGCTGCTATCAGCTTGTCACAGAAACATGGATGTGTTTGTGACGTGACCAGAATTGAACATCATTCAATTTCCTGGAGATGTTTGAGATTGAGATTGAACTTGATTCCTTTTCCATGAAAAGCAAATGTTCTATCAGTGAGCTCTAGCCTAGCATACAATTTTTGCATATATGGCTGTGTGTATGTGTGTGTGTGTGAGAGAGAGAGGGGGGGGAGAGAAATTTTTCACTTCAATATATGGAGGATTTTAATGGACAAAAGAATTTAATAGGTGTAACCAAGTATTTAAATGGAAGGAACAGGCATCACATTTTATACTGCTTTTCAGAAATAAGGGTAAGTAAACCAAATCAGAAATTGAATGGAATCCCATGTTTCATAGTTCATTTCATGTAAATTCTAAGAAGCAGTCGTTTATAAGCAAGAGTATTGTAGAAAATAGCTCAATGCTTATCAGATTTTGACTTAAAGATTCTTGCTTGCTTGCTTTTTGGGTGTTTGGCTAATAATATCCTCCAATGACAACTTCTCATGTTCTATAAGTGAAACAGAGTCACTAGCAAATAAAGGACTGGCTTCTCCAATCTTTGTATGCAGCAACTGATAAAATGTCTAGTTTTGTAGAACCCGATTAATGTATAGAAGGTTTGGCATTTAAGCTAACTTTGAAGTCGAGAGGGTCCAAACTTGTCCATCCTGGCTGGGTGTTTGGAAGCTGTAGTTCCAATACATCTGGAGCATAACTTGTTATAGCAGCCTGCATTATAATTAGCATTCTGGGGGAAGAAAGAATTTGGAGCAGTATAAAACTTCTTTTGGCCTACATATTTCATGTTACTTAAAAAAAAAAAAGTGGGATTAGGTAGCCCTTTAGTAATGTGGAGTGCTGCAGGGGGCAGCCTCAATTGAGGGGATTTCTCCATTATTCCATCTCCAATCATTTATTTTTATTTATTACGATCATAGTGCCTGGGGTCAAACTACCTCTTTATGGTTAAGAAAGTGGATCCTGTTAGATATCAAGGGGAAGATGTTCCACAGGGCAGGGACTATTGTGGAAAACGCACACTTCCTGGCTTTCACTAGATGCCAACATTTAATGCAAAGGATCATAACATTAAGTTCCCTCCAAATCTTGGTTGACACTCCAAAGTTTTTATTTCAGATTGTCTAGAGCACAGGTGTCCAACCTTGGCAACTTAAATTTAAGACTTGTGGACTTCAAGTTCCCAGCATTCCCCAGCCAGCCATACTGAAGTCTGCAAGTCTTAAAAGTTGTCAGGGTTGGATACCAACCTCGGGTCGTGGCCTACAACCAGCCATGAGCTGTTCGGGCTACTGAAGCTGCGGGCAAGCAGTGTCCAAGTGTGTCTATGTGCACTCCAGTTGCATGAGCGGCGGGCATGCTTGCCCGGTGCTTGCACAAATGGAGTTGTGCGCATACTCACAATGAACCATCCTTGCTCGCCACTCACAATGAACCATCCTCTCTCCCCCCCCCCAGTCCACACAGCTGGAAAGGTTGGGGAACTCTTGTCTAGATGACGTATAATGAAATTTTGATGACCTTAGTTCTATGATATCTCTCCTACGTTCCTCGGTTGGAAATCATGACTACCACTTTTATATTGTCCTTCTTGGTCCTCCTCCAGTTCTGCTGCAATTATTTATTTATTTCATTTCTTTATTAAATATATATGCTACCCGTCTCATTGTAACAATGACTCTGGGTGGCTTACCGCATAATAAGATAATATGAAAGAATTTCAGATTAAGAAAGATTAAATAAAGACAAAAAAAATCAAGAGAACAGGCGACCTGGGAGTGGGGACTTTCTTTTGACCCCCTTAGGCACCCCCAGCATTGAGTGTCCCTATCAGGGCCTTAAGTCAGCTAGCAGAGTCAGGTTATAAGGCTCTTCTGGAAGTCCAAAGTGTGGGGGACAACCAACAGGACAATATTCCAAAGGGTGAGGGCCATAGTCCAAAAGGCTCCCTTAGACCCTGCCAGCCAAAATTGTTTGGCAGCTAAGATCTGAATAAATCTCAAAGGTGTTTTTTTTTTCTTCAAAAGGCAACTGGACTGTTTTTTCCTTGAAGAAGATGAAAACGTTTCGCCTCTCATCCAAGAAGCTTTATCAGTTCTGATGGTGGGAAAATGTTTCGCTTCTCATCCAAGAAGCTTCATCAGTTCTGATGGCGGGGAAATGTTTTGCTTCTCTTCTGAGAACCAAAACGTTTTCTTCTTCTTCCTCCTCCTCAAGGGAAAAAAAAAACAGTCCAGTTGCCTTTTGAAGAAAAAAGCACCATTGAGACAACCGTGAACTGGATGACTGAGAATCTCCACAGATCTGAAGGAGGTTTGTTCAGTTGGAACAAGCTGGAGGAACCAATCCCATTGAGGTGAAATGGGTCCTCAGTTAATTATGCTGATAATACGGGCATCCTGTGTGCAACATCTTTATTTACCAGAATAATCTTCAGAGGGATCTTTAACTTGGGAGTGAGATTTTACTTTCTTCCAACCCGGTAACCTCTTCGGGATGCTTAAAGTTTTTTCATCCCTTGGAAAGACAATTGGGGTAAGATACTTCTCACAACTGGAGGAAGAATGAGTGTAAAAGCACAAGTGAATGTGAATGAATTAGTATATCTTGCCTCACCACCAATCTCACCAACTTGTTCAGTGCTTTCCATCCCCAAAAGATTGCCCCTTCCTGGACAGGCGCTTCTTTCGAACAAAGTTAAACACAGATAAATGAATGGGTACGCCTGAGGTCCACAGTGAAAAAATATGGAGAATTCACATGATTAATACATCCTATTTCATGCACATGGTGGTTATGAAGGACCAGGCTTCCCTTTTCTTGACAATATTCATAGTTACAACATCTCAAAAAAAAAATTGTTAGCAACAAATGATAACTAAACCTGAGTCGGCCTCGTAGAAAATAGTTATATATGTCTTTCAAAAAGTTGCAAAAGATGAAAACCAAAGAATTCTGACTTCCTTTCCTTTTTTTAAAAAAAAAAAACTGCACTTTTGCTTCCACTGACTTGGCTGACTCCCCTAATTAACTATTAGAAGCTTGCTTTGCTTTTTTAAGCAAATGCTGTTGATTCTTATGATCCTTATAGAATCCTGCAAGCCACACTTAAGTATTTTAGGAGCTATAAGCATCTCAGAAGCCATAGATCACTAATTGCTGATCTAATGCATCTTTTAAAATGATCTTTTGCAAACAGTTACCTTATTCTCCAACCCTTCGTTAGGTTGCACGGCATGCAAAAGATTTAGCAAGAGCATTGTTCTCCCAGTGAGGTAGCTTCCTCTGAGGAATGTACAACATTTGGAACAAAGCCACTTTTCACCCCTTCCCATCCATCCTGTATTGAAATCTCTCCTTTTCTCACAAGTTCATATATGTCCTTAGTGAGAATAGTGAATGATTCTTCAACGTTTGTGGCATCCTTGGCAGATGTTTCTATGTATTTTATGCCACAGGCTGATGCTAGTTCTTCAGCTTCCTCTCTTGTAACCTGGCGCTCTGATTCCAAGTCGCATTTGTGTCCCACCAAGATGAAGATAATCTGGAAAGGTTGAACATGCATTTTTGCTTCATCCAACCAGTCATATACGTGTTCAAAAGAAGACCTGTTTGTGATATCAAACACCAGCAAGCCTCCTACTGAATTCCGGTAATAGGAACGGGTGATTGACCTGTAAAATAAAAACGGAGAGACACGTTCAGCAGGAATATTACACTTTTTAATGTGTACATTTCAAAAGCAATGGGGGCGGGAGGGGGAACAAAGATCGTGCTGCTTTTTTCAAAATAATAAAATAGTGTCAAACTGGTAGCCCGTGGGCCGGATGTGCAACCCGGCTCTGCAAAGGCAAAAAATGTCACGATACGTCACGTGACATGATTGAGTTTGACACCCATGTAATAAAAACATACTCTATTTCCTTCCCTACATGTGCAAAATTTGGTCTTGAATTGTATCAATGCTGAAATGGTGTGCCACACACAACGTTGTATGGATTCCAATAGAGCTGGATAGAATTAAAATGAAAACAGACAATTCTGTTGTCTTGTCCAGTTTGCCCTGGATAACAGTGCCAGCTAATCTGGAGAATTGCATCTCCAGATCATGTATGATGCTGAAATATATAAACCAGCTTCTTAACTAAAATTAGCTTTTTGGATAGATACTTTCAGTCTAGTCTTCTGCCTAATTTCTCAACTTCTTCATGCAAATATCAAATAAAAATGTATTAGATCTCAGAGTATCTGTTGTGTCTCAGGCTCCTTACTCCCACTTCTACACAAGTTTTTTTTTAAAAAAAGTAGTTTTAATTTTTTTTTTTAAAGGACTCTTAACAGGCTGCAAAACAAAGCACCAGCCTAAACCATTATACCCCCAATATACATTGGAAACACTGGAAGCATTATTCAGAAAAAAAAGTGGTGATTTGAAGTTACAATGGCACTGAAAAAAGTGATTTATGATCAGTCCTCACACTTACAATCATTGCAGCTTCCCCATGATCACAATGATCAAAATTCAGGCGCTTGGTAACCGGCCTGTATTTACCATGGTTGCACTTTCCTGTGGTCAGCTGAACGCCATTTCCAACCTTCCTAGTCAGCCTCAGATAATCAAAGCAAAGTCAATGGGGGAAGCCAGGTTTGCTTAATGACCGTGCTTAATAACTGCCTCATTTAGCAATGGAAATTCTGGTCCAGTTTATGGTCATAAGCTGAGGGCCACCTGTATCTGTCAAGGAAGGAAAAGGAAAATGGACTTTTCCAAAGTTCCCCTTGTGAATGACTGGTTACAATTGCTTAATTATGAGAAAAATATTCTTTACATGTATTCAAATCCCTTTTTTCTCACTAATGCTTCACACATCCAAGATGATGGATGACCTATGATTTGTTCACAGGTCTTATCCCATAAAACAGCGGTTCTCAACCTGTGGGTCGTGACCCCATTTGGGGTCGAATGAACATTTCACGGGGGTTGACAAACAACGCAGTCCGCCATTTTTTCCCCCTTTTTCTTAGCTGTGCTACTCCCTTTTATTCTATTGGCTTTTGAAAGCCAATAGAATAGACTCTCTTGAATAGAGTCTAATTCTATTGGCTTTCAAAAGCCAATAGGAATTGTCCAGGCTGTCTCTGCCCTGCTGAGCCCGCCAAAAGTCCCATTCTGCAAACTTGCAGTGAAGGCGAGCTGTCTGGAAGTTTCCACCCCTCCCTGCTGAGCAACTACTAAAAATGTAAGTAAAAGAGGGCCAGTGGTGGGAGGTAGGAGGCCGGTGGGCGCAGGGAGGGTTGCTGGCGCATATGGGGGCGCGGCAGGTGCCTTACCTCCCTTGGGCTGGGCCAGCTGATGGCCCAGCCGGTGGTCGCCCTGCGCTGTAGCTGCCCCTTGCCAGCTACGCCTCGGCCGGCGCAGGGGGCAGCACCACGCATGCGTGGCACTCCTGGGAAGTGAAAGTCCTCAACTTACAACCGGTTGGGTAGTCCTCGACTTACGACCAGTTGAGTAGTCCTCGATTTACGACCGGTTGGGGGGGGGGTCGCGGCATTAAAAAGATTGAGAACCACTGCCATAAAACCTCTTCTTTGTTTCAAAAAAAGAGAAAGAAATCAGACACTTTCCAGCTTTGCTTCAGTCTGCTACTAGTCTACTACTATTTTTTTTATTACTGCATTATTGTTCTGATTTGGTGCCTAGTGCTATTTATCTGCATTAAAAAAAAGTTTTCAAATGCTTTTAGCCTTTGTTAGCCACCCAAAGAGCAAAAAAGGTGTAATTTCCCGAATGAAGAGAAGCACCTGAAAATAAACTGGCCTTTCTCAGGAATGGGCAAACTAACCCACAAGCCTAATTCAGAATATTATCCTGCCCCTCAAGACTGCACTCTGGCTTTGGCAGCAAGAATTAGACGTGTGAATATTATTAATATGTAAGAATTGCATTTGCAGGTATTTTACCCAAAGGGTTAGTTGGTTCAATAACCTGGCATTTTTTCCTCATTTTGTTAAAGGGCAATTTCTCCCTGATTGAGCTTACACAAAACAACAAATCACAAACCAGCCACTACCCTTTCATCTAGGGCAGGGGTGTCAAACTGCCGGCCCACAGGCCAGTTGCATCATGCGGAGGCCACGTCCATCTCAGCTCCGGGAATGCGAAAAAGTCACGAAACATTGTGACATGTCACGTGACACGGCAAGTTTGACACCCGTGCTCTAGGGCAGGGGTAAGCAACCTTGGCTCTTTTATGACTCGTGGACTTCAATTTCCAGAATTCCTGAGCCAGCATGGCTCAGCATAGAAATCTCTCCCTTTCCCCTCAGCATGGCTGGCTCAGGAATTCTGGGAGTTGAAGTCCACGAGTCATAAAAGAGCCAAGGTTGCCTATCCCTGCTCTAGGGTATTGTGCAAGCTCATTCCATGTGGTTAGTCTACGAAACAGGTAGTCCTCAATTTACAACAGTTTGTTTAGTGACCTTTCAAAGTTACAACCGCACTGAAAAAAGTGACTTATGATTGTTTTTCACATTTACGACCATTCCAGCATCCCTCAACTGACTCATATTTATGACAGTTTCAGTGTCCCAGGGTCACGTGATCACTTTTTGCAAACATCTGACAAGCAAAGTCAACATTTAAGTCACATTTAAGATACACTTAACAATTGTGGCAAAAAAGGTCATAAAATGGGGCAAAATTCCCTTAACTATCTCATTTAACAACAGAAATTTTGAGCTCAGTTGTGGTTGAGGTCTACCTGTACATGTGTAAACTTAATAAATAAGTTAGATTAGAAACTAGGATGTATAGTCAAAGCCATGGTTTTCCCAGTTGCAATGTATGGCTGTGAAAGTTGGACCATAAGAAAGGCTGAGCACCAAAGAATTGAGGCCTTTGAACTATGGTGCTGGAGAAGACTCCTGCGAATCCCTTGGACTGCAAGGCGTTCAAACCGGTCAGTCCTAGAGGAGATCAACCCTGACTGCTCTTTAGAAGAACAGATCCTGAAGTTGAAACTCAAGTACTTTGGCCACCTAATGAGAAGGAAGGACTCACTGGAGAAGACCCTAATGCTGGGAAAGATTGAGGGCAGTAGAAGAAGGGGACGACAGAGAATGAGGTGGCTGGATGGAGTCACTGAAGCAGTAGACGTGAGCTTAAATAGACTCCAGAAGATGGTAGAGGACAGGAAGGCCTGGAGGAACATTGTCCATGGGGTCGCAATGGGTCGGACACGACTTCACAACTAATAACAACAAGAAGCTAGGATTAATTTCACAAACAGCAATTCAGTTAACTGGGACTTAATATATTGTGTGAAGTAAATATGAACCAGGCAGGCAGACATATTTTGTTGATTTCCTGCTTCTAGAGCAGGGCTTTTCAACCTTTTCATCCATTATACCACTTTTAGGATATGGTAACATCCAAGTACCACCAGTCACCTAGCAAGGTGTCAAAAACTTGATGACCCCTCCCCAAAAGGAAAAAAGTGATAAAGTACACGTAGTCCTCGACTTACAACAGTTCGCTTAGTGACTCTTCGAAGTTACAATGGCACTGAAAAAAGTGCCCCCCAAGCCACACCCGAGCAAGACACCTGCCTGCCCACCTGGTGGCGCTCTTCCTCCTGTCCAAGATTTTCACTGTTCTGAGCATTTCTGTTGAGGATTGGCAGCGGGGGTGGGGTGGGGGGGGTGTTTGGTTTTTATTCCCCCCGTCTGCTGGGTGGTTGCAGCAGGCTTTGGTCACTTCACATGACCCTGGGACATTGTGACTGTCATAAATATGAATCAGTTGCCAAGCATCTGAATGTAAATCACAAGATCCTGGAGATGCTGCAACATTCCAGCTGATTGGCGCTTCTTCTGGGCTCAGCGGAAGCACTAGGATCAGTGCTGCTTTTCAGCTGATTGGTGCTTTTTCAGGGCTTAGCAGAAGCACCAGGATCAGCGCCAAGCTCCAGCTGGAGCCTGGCACTGATCCTGGCGATTCCACTGAGCCCTGACAGCCCTGCAGCTCCAGCCATCTCTCGCTCAGGCTTGCGCGATGCTGCCACTGGTTCAGCTCATCCCTCTCCCCCGCTACCACTTTTCTAGGATGGTCGTGTACCACCTGCCAGGTGCCAATGTACCACAAGTGGTACCCATACCACTGATTGAAAAGCACTGTTCTAGAGAACCTAGTACAGATGTGTCAAACTGCAGGCCTGCAGGCTGGTTTCATCTTACCGAAGCTGCGCCCACCCCATTGCTGTCAATGCAAAAAAGAATCATGATACATCGCGACATGTCACATGACGTGGCGAGTCTGACACCCATAATCTAGTAGCTCCAAGCTGCGAGCTGGATTACAGCTCAAAGCTGTGATGATGTCATCATGCCACAATGAGTACAAATGACATAACTGATGTCATGCGTGACATCATTCCTCCACTGCAGATGCTCAGTTCCACTTGCATTTTGCAGCCAGCTAGTGTCCAGAGTTATGTCTCTGAGCATTATACAACTATAGCAATAGCCACTGCCTTATTCTTGGTGAATTGATGAATTTCAAAGTGTTTCATCAAATCCCTACTAACATTTCCCATTGCATGGAATTTCTCACGGAAATCATCAAAGATGGAGCAAAGCAAAGAACAAGGCTTGCTTGTTTAACTATAACTCTTGGGGGCAGGTGAGGCTTTGGGGTGGTGACAAAGTCATTTGACCCGCAGCCCACAAGCACCCCTCATTTCAGAAGCCGAGAAAGCCACCCTAGTCTAACCAAGCAGAGAAATAAGGGTTTGGTTTCCTTCAAAAAGATTTCTTGCTGCAGAGCATTTGCACTTGCCTTTCCCCTTAGTTGTACACACTCCTACACCCACACAAGCACACAGAATTCGGGTATCGCACGAAAACCACAAATTATCCCTCTGACGGAGTTAATTTCCCCGATTGTCGAATCTCAGATAGGAACCGTCATATTCAAAGAGCGAGTAAAAAGTTGGCCGCAAGCATACTTGTGAATTAGCGCGCGCGCGCGCATACACACACACGCACACACATACAAAACACACGCAAGCAGCAAAAGTGGGCGTGGCCAGGGAGTGGCACTCTGCACATCCTCAGACGCTCCGGAGGATGCGGAATCCGTTTTATTTCTCCTCTGGACTCATTGCTGGGGGGGGGGGGAAGCCCAGAGAGAGATCTTGGAAGGCGAAGCCAGCAAAAGCGGGGCGGGAAGCTGAAGCACCGGGACAGCGCCGGCTGTACCTGAACCTCTCCTGGCCCGCCGTGTCCCACAGCTGCAGCTTGATCCTCTTGCCCGGCTCGATCTCCACCAGGCGGGAGAAGAAATCCACCCCGACGGTGGGATCGCAGTGCATCGGGCCCGGGAAACGGCCTTCGGTGAAGCGATGTAAGAGGCAGGACTTGCCCACCGTGGAATCGCCCAGCACGATCAGGCGGAATTGGTAGATCCAGATGGCCGCGTCCATGGCGGTCTCCCCGCTGCCCTCCGCCTGGTGGCCGCTCCCCTTGGCCTGGTTGGGGCGCCTTCTCGGGCGGTGCCTGCACCGAGCGCCGACGGCCCCTATCCCAGGCATTGGCGCAGCAGGAAGGAAGGGAGGGAGGTGCCTTTGATATGGCGCGAGGACTTGGTCCGAAAAGACGGAGATCCCCCCGGGCGGAGGCGGCTGGGCTTCCCCGCACTACGGCCCGGGTGTCAGCCGAAGGCCGTGGGGTGATCGATAGGGCTGGAGACCCTCACTCTCTCCCTTTGGTCCGCCGTCCCACCCGCCCGCCTTGCCACGCTGCTTCTCGCCCAGCGCTTCTTTGTCCCCGCACGTTGCGAGTTGCGAGGAGGAAGACAGGGGGCAGCGGTGGGAGGGGGCTGTCCCTGGTGGGTTGCAGGAGGGGGAGGAGGAGGGCGGGGTTTTTGTCCAGAGCCCTTATTCTTGGGTTGAGAGAAAGAAAGAAAGAAAGAAAGAAAGAAAGAAAGAAAGAAAGAAAGAAAGAAAGAAAGAAAGAAAAGCCATCATTCTTGACTGATGGGTGGGTCTAAGGCAGGGGTAGGCAACCATGGCTCTTTTATGACTCGTGGACTTCAACTCCCAGAATTCCTGAGCCAGCTATTCTGTGAGTTGAAGTCCACGAATCATAAAAGAGCCAAGGTTGCCTACCCGTGGAAGGGATCAGCCTTTGTGGGATGGGAAATAGCAGGGTTTCGTGTCCCCTTCTTCTATGCTCGTTGTTTTGATCTGTGCTTCTGTACTTAGCCAGAAGAGGTACTTTGTGTATGCTCAGACATTACTTCATTATCCGACCAGAGATCCTGGGAATAGGCTCAGGATCTAGAATTGGACAGGTCAGGAAAGATTTCTCAATCCATCACCCAGCAAAATATCAGGAGCTGACCCACTTGCTCAGGAGCATTTCCAATGGCTTGATGGAAAAAGAGAGATCTGACTTGGAGATTCTGACGTATGCTAGAGCAGGGGTCCCCAACTCTGGTCTGTGGTCCAGTACTGGGCCGCGGCATACCAGCAACTGGGCCGCACAAACAAGCAAAGCCCCATCCCCAGGATGCAGGCAGCACCCAAAACCATGCACCCTCTGGTTTGCAGAAAAATCGCTCTCAGTGGAACGGGTCCCTGGTGCCCAAAAGGTTGGGGGCCTCTGTGCTAGAGCAACTGCATCGCTGCAGACAAATTGTCTAGTATAGCAAAATGTCTATGGAGAGTATCAGTCATCCAAGTCATAGTTATCCCAAAGATGCTTTTTTTCACAAGGAAACTGGACTTTCTTGCTTTTCTTTGAGATGTTTTGCTTCTCATCCAAGAAGCTTCTTGGATGAGAAGTGAAACGTCTTCAGAGAAAACAAGAAAGTCCAGTTGCCTCATGAAAAAAAAAGCATATTTGGGATATCTAGTATAGCGTTTCTCAACAATGACAAGTGTTTCTCAACCTCAGCAAGTTTAAGATGGGTCTTAGAGTTGAAGTCCACCCATCTTAAACTTGCCAAGGTTGAGAAACACTGGTCTACTACAAGTGGAGAACAAAGAAGAAGGGATGAAAAAGAAGACCCGAACAAAAAATTAGGATGCTTGGGATTGGTTCCTAGTCTCCTTATTTGCTGCTGCTGTTTGATGCTATAATAGCTGCCAAAAAAGATTTAACTGCACAAATACAAGCAAATTCATTGAGAAACTTTAACACAACCCCCCCATCACTCTTCAAGATCTTAGTCAAGAGATTTTCTTAGAACCACGTTCATTGATAGAAAACCTGGGACAATCCTGAATAGTAGTCTCTACCTTGTAAAGTTGGGAATGATGGCCACTATAATGAAGCACATCTGGACAGTATCACATTTGGGAAGGTGTCTGGGCAGGCTGGAGTTCAAATTCCATGTCAGTCCATACTTTTTAATATTTCACTACATTAAAAGAAAGCCCAGCCTCTATTAAACATATTGCATTCAGCATTATAAACCCACATTGTTTATATCCCAATAATTAATATAATGAGTCTATTTTGTTTCCTATCCTGATTCATCTCCTTGCCCATTGCATCACAAGTTGAACAGTTGTTTTTGTCACTGTGTAATGGATGGTGTGTGTAGGCTGGTTCTTAAGTTTTTGCCAGCATGTTCTGACACCCATGCTGCTGTTTTTAAGTAGGAAAAACAACAACAATCCGGCTATGGCAGATGGAGCAGAGGTTAAAAGCAGGGGAGCTATCCATTCAGCACCCTCTTGGTGCGCTCACTTAAAAACTGGATGCATCATCAGAAACAAAACACAACAGCCTGTTTTCTGAGAACAAGTTGATTGCGTGCCTAATACAAGTATCTGTATGTCTGTGGTTGGGGGGGGGGGGCTGAGAGAAAGAAACTGCAACCTTCTGAGAAAACTGGAAGTAAAATCCAAATTGGCTCCACATTTTGCACTTTTTGAATTAGCATGCAGTAAGAGAAGGAACATTTCTACATCAAAAGAGGAACAACCATCAATTGACCACTAAAAAGAAAACTAATCATCCTCAGTCACTTGGGTGTACTTTTATTCTTGCCTGAAGTTGCTTTAGGCTTTTCAAGAGATGGGATATTTTTTTTTTTAAAAAAAAAGGTTATTGAATGTTTTGACTTAAAATAACTGCACTTGGGATTGTGTGTGTGTGAAAAGTATATAATACATGTTTGCAAATAAATAATACAGAATAAAGAGGGACATGTTTCATTGTTTAAAAGCTCCTCCATAAGGAAGATGGGAGGTTAAGAATTTTGATATACACACATGTACTGTGCATGTGTGTGTGTCTACATATATATGTGTGTGTTTGATATCTATATATCAAACTTCTTAACCACTCATCTTCCTTATAAAGGAGCTTTTAAACAATGAAACATCCCTCTTTATTCTGTATTATTATTTATTTTCAATAAATATTTATTTATATACCGTAAATGCCGGACTTCCGCGAGCGCTGAAATTGGCGCCAAAGACGGGGGTCGTCTTATACGCCAAGTCGCCTTATACGCCGGAAATACTGGTAGTTTCCGGCGTATAAGACGACGTTCTAGGAATGCGGCCCGGCTATAAAGACGGGGGTCGTCTTATACGCCGGGTCGCCTAATACGCCAGCATATACGGTATTTCTCAATAAATAAATATTCAATAAATAATAAATACCTATTTATCTATTTGCTTTTGCATGCTTTTAAAATGCTAGGTGGGCAGAGCCGGGGCAAGAATAGGAGTTCACCTGTCATGCAGAACTTAGGATTCAAACCTGGGCTGTCAGATTTCCAGCTGACAAACTTGGCATCTTTAACCACTGAGCCATCATACCCCACTGGGTGGAGGGCATGCTGGAAACAGGATTTTTTGATAGCTTGTACTTGATTTTGAAAGTGAAATATGGCAGAGCCACAAACCAGATTAAATGTTAACCTTTCTGGCATGGAAATCTTTTGCATCTTCCTTTCTACTGTGGGCATTTTATTTGTTATTTTATTATGTTCCACCTTCCTCCAGAAGCTGTAGATGGCACATAAAGTATCCTGCCTTCTACATTTTCTCCACAACAGTGAGAACAAATATGATTATATTTATTCAGGCAAAAGTCTCTTGTACATTCCAGGAGACCTTGTATCATATATCTGATCTTCTTCTTCTTCTTCTTGTGCCATATCCATTATCGGACATTGGCGATCATGTTGGCGATCCTGTTTTTATCAGCAGCCGCACGAAAAAGTGCTGCTGAGTTTTGTCCAAACCAGTCCCTTAGATTTTGAAGCCATGATGTTCTTCTTCTGCCTGGACTTTGTTTGCCTTTTATCTTTCCCTGGAGGATTAAATGGAGTATGCCATATTTTTCTAGGTGTCGCATCACATGTCCGAAATATTCTAATTTTTGTTTTTTAATTGTTTTGATGATTTTCCTTGGCTTTCCCAGGTGGCTTATCACCTCCTCATTTCTGATCTTGTCAGCCCAGCTTATACATAACAGCTGCCTGTAAATCCACATTTCAAATGCTTCTAGTCTCTTCAGGTGGCCTTCTGTCAGAGACCAACTCTCTACTCCATAGAGCAGGATAGAAAAAAATATAGCATCTGACAAGCCTGATTTTCAGATATATCTGATATTTGACATCAAACATTAAGACCTGATGGGGGTTTAAAGAGTCTGTATTATGCATACTGGATGGAGCAGTGTGTGTTATATCAGAACAAAAAGGGAACTAATGTTCCCAATTGAAAAATGGACTTGGTGCACTTAAGACACTTGCTGGTAAAATGTTACATAGGAGGAATCCACAAGAGTATTACTTTACTCTTATCCTTATCTATTGTAAAAGATATGCAAAAGACCAAAGTCCACATGTCTTTCTTGATCACATGAGCTAAATAAGTTTATCTGGAAAGTATCAGATTGATAAGCCAAATATTTGATATATCAAACTGATTTATTTGCTGAGTCATCTAGCTTTTAATTATTCAGTTAGTTGTGTGGCTTATAACAACCACATTTCATTACAGGTGAATAATGAAATAAATAATCTGAAATTATTTACATTCTTACCAACAAAGCTCACAATGATTTTTAGATCAAATAGTTGGTCATGTTTTGTATTTTATTTTTGTCTTCTACGTAGGAGTATTTCAAAACAAAAGAAGCATTAAATGACCAAGTCTTTGCATCTGAACTGCACCAAAATTGTGTATCCTTCTTGTTAAAATGAACTCCACTGATGAATCAGCTAAAATTTCACATTTTTGTAAAAAGGCTCTGAAGTGATAGAGGATAATATATATATTATTTCTGGCAAGTGGCTGAATCTCTATAGGGATACTTTTCTTCTTATGACTAACAGTTCAAGTGCTAAATTAGAAATGTCAACAGACGCTGGTAGATTCCAAAATGTTCTAGTAGGTAACATGATTACACTTTGTACAGTACAAAGATGCAAACATTTCTTGGCTTCCCTGTAATATTTACTATTTGGTAAATGTTTCTCCCCGTCTGTTATATACTTATATTAAAACAATGTGTGAATGTACTTTTACTCTTTTAAGTACTCTATCAACATTTTTATAATGGGGAATTCTGGGAGCTGACGTCCACACAACTTAAAGTTGCCAAGGTTGAGAAACACTGCAAGAATCACAATCAATACAGAATAAATAATACAATCAATCAATTGCAACATGTTAAGAGAGAAATGTTAAGAGCATCAAGCTGGTGTTGGCTGAGCTTGGAATGCATGGATGGGAGACAATCAAACAAACCTAGCACTATTGACTAGACTGAGAGTGAAAAGAACATTTCAGAAGAAAACAGTGGCAAATCAGTTCT